GAAGGAAATAAAAACCAAAAAACAAATGCTGTCTTTGCCCACCCTCTGCTCCCCAAGAGGAGCCCAACACCTTAGACTCCTTGGGCACTGGAGACAGAAAAAGCCTCACTTTTGCCAGTTGGAGCCTCTGGCAAAGGGAGACAGATTCTACCTGGAAGTGCCCTCAGGGTTTTGGACTTGTGGCCTCTCTGATGTGGCTACCAAGTAGCCTTTGGAAGGCGGCTCTTAGCTTGCTGAGTTCTTGTTGAAATGGAATACTTGACCCACGAAGGCTTTGTGACTCTCAGTCTTCAAATTCCCATTTTGGGGTGGATCAACCTAACAAAGTAGAAAGACTAACAAAGTAGAAAGAGTCCAAAAAAGGCTTGCTTAGAAAGGAACATAACGTATTCAAGAACACAGCTGTCCTGAGCCCAGTGGCACCTTGGCTTTATATGGGAAAAGTACCAGATATTCCTCTACAGAAACTTCACATCCACTCCCCTCTGACAGGAGCAGAGCCACTGGCCCAACAGTGCCCTCCTCTGAGCCTGCCTGTGTCTGGCTTGATGAAGGTTTGGATAAGTTGATACCTGGCAGTGTCCACTGGGCTGACGTAGCTGTTCAGCCTCAGAGCCAACCCTGCAGAACTGGAAGTGAATGTGGTCACCCCACTCAGTGGGCAGAACTCAGACTTGTTGGGCTGTTGCTGATGGCCCAGCTGTTTGTTCTTCCACTTGGAAAAGTACAGACCTCCAGATCAAAGATGTCCCGCAAGCTGTGGAAGCAAATCATGCTTGCTGATTGAACTGTCTGGGTCATTCACTTAGATGCCTGTGGCAAGGACTCCTTCTAAGACAGCACAATCAAGCTGCTGATCAAAACTAACTGTTTTTGATGTGGAGGCAACTGTTGCATGCTGGACTCATGACTCCTCCCTAAAGTTGACCTGCTTGTCCCACGGTGCAGGAGGCCACATCACGAGGGGAGTTTCCCTTCCCCTGCCCAGCAGATCAACTCTACCAGCGCTTTGACCCTCTCTGAGGCTGTCAGGGTGGCTCACCACTGATACTGCTTCCAGTTACTGACCAGCTTACTCTGACACTGAAAGGGAGGCCTAGGGGATTCCAACTTAATTCTTAAGGTTTATAAAAATGCCCTGGTCTCTTTCACCTGATTCTTCCAGACAAAAGGTCTGGGCATGAGTAGGAACGATTGGGTAGAAGGTAAAGTTATAGCTTCTGGAATGGGACATGAGATTTTGTGGAGGTGAAGGAAGAGCAACACAGCAGCACCTGGGAGGTGTGGCAGAGGGAGAGGGCATTAATGACTGTGTCCTCCTTTGGGAATGCATTGTTTATGTGAAAGCTACACTTTGGCTTACTTCTCTCCTAAAATACAATGGCTTACACCCTAAGAAGTGGACGTAAGAGAACTGGAAGTGTTTAAGGAAATATCGCCGTGGTCCTGGTAAGCACAGGTCAGCCTGAATTCTCCGGTCTGGGTTGTTTGTGGATGAGAGAATCACCCTAGGCTTCGTCCCTGTGGGCCCAGGAAATCTGTGCAATTGCTAATACGCCCTGTTCCACCTAGACTAATGCTTTGGCTTGCTATGGAAACTTAAGGAGAAAGGCACTTGGCCTTCTAAGGTAGACACTGATGGTTTATGAGTTTTGTTTAGCTGGAAGCCTGGTGGGCATAGCTGAGGTCAATGTTGCAGGTTGACCAGCAGGACCAATTCTGCTTAGAGTACAAACTGGATGAATCTGGTCTTAGTTCCTGTCGCCTTAACTAATCATAACGGCTGAGGCCTGCCCAGTGGCATAGTCGTTGAGTTTGCGCACTCCGCTTTGGTGGCCTGGGGTTTGCCCATTTGGATCCTGGGCACAGACCTACACACCACTCATCACCCCACGCTGTGGTGCATTCAACATAGAAGAACTAGAATGACCTGCAACCAGGATATGCAAATAGATACTGGGGCTTTGGGGAGAAGGAAAAAAAAAGAGGAAGATTGGCAACAGATGTTAGCTCAAGGCCAATCTTGCTCACCAAAAAGCACACCTTAAAAAAAAGAAAATGCACAATGGTGTGTCCTTAGAGTGACTTAATGAAAAGCAAGGAGATTAAAAAGAGAAACAAACAGGGGCTGGCCCCGTGGCCGAGTGGTTAAGTTTGCGCGCTCCACTGCAGGCGGTCCAGTGTTTCGTTAGTTCGAATCCTGGGCGCGGACATGGCACTGCTCATCAGACCACGCTGAGGCAGCGTCCCACATGCCACAACTAGAAGGACCCACAACGAAGAATACACAACTATGTACCGGGGGGCTTTGGGGAGAAAAAGGAAAAAAATAAAATAAAATCTTTAAAAAAAAAAAAAAAAAGAGAAACAAACAGATGGGGCAATATTTACACAAACAGGCATTTCAGGACTGTTGAGACTGTTAGGGCGTTAACCGGACAAACAGGGATTTTATATAAGCCCTGGCTGATTAAACAGGAAATACAGTCATCAGATTTGGTCTACATTTAGCCAACTGTAAACAAAGCAAAGAATCTCCCCAAATGAAACTTGATACGAAATTTTAGTGGGATTGTTGAAAATAGCTCTTAAAAATTACCAGGCTGTCTGGTAGGCAAAAATAGGAATAAGAATAAAACAACGTGCGGACCCAGCACTGCTCATCAGGCCATGCTGAGGTGGCGTCCCACAGAGCAGAACTAGAAGGACCTACAACTAGATATACAACTATGTACTGGGGGGCTTTCGGGAGAAGACAAAAAAAGAGGAAGAATGACAACAGATGTTAACTCAGGGCCTATATTTAAAAAAATAAATAAATAAAGGTGATAAATGCTTCATCTGAATTGAGAAATTTTGACTTGAAAATCTGACCCAGCTATTTCCTTTTACTTTATTTTGAGATTAATCTATAAAACGATGAAAAGGGAACATTTTCTACCAAAAATAATGTGACACAATGTAAACTGAAATCTGAGGGCATCTGTTTGCTTTAAATGCCTTTTGTATTTTCAAGACTGAAAAGAAATCAACCAAGTGTCAATTTGAATATTTTGGAGAGAACAAAATAGACATAGTAATACCATTGAATGCTAGGCACTAGTTTTTTGGGGGTTTTTTGGTTTGTTTTTGTTTTTGTTTTTTTGCTGAGGAAGATATGCCCTGACATAAAGTCTGTCCTAATCTCCCTCTATTTTGTACGTGGGTCACCACCACAGCACAGTCACTACCAAGTGGTGTAGGTCTGCACCCGGGAACTGAATCTGGGCTGCCAAAGTGGAGCCAAACTTAACCACTAGGCCATGGGGCCTTCCCGCAGACTTTTAATTCTTAATACCCAAATCATCATGGAATTTTCATATCTCTCAGTATAATAGGGTTTTTTGGACAGTTGTTTGGGGGAACACTTGTTTAGGTTAAAAAAAATAAGGAAACATTTTTAACAATCTGTGGGGAAAGCTTGATTTATATTCCAAATACAATTGGAAGACCTTCAGAATCATCAAAAGTGATGTGCATCTCTGATGTCCTAAGAAAAGCATCACAAAGCAACCACGTTAGTTTTTGCTGATAGAGAAGCGATGTTTTAAGCTTTTTACATCCCCACATTACAGTTTACTGTTTTCCTATAGGCACTCGATGTGTTTTACTAGGATTTTAGGAGACTGTTGGGAAGTTCCGGGTTCTGTGTAACACATTACAATTTTTCCTACTTAAAATACCAAGTGTTGGTGAGGATATGGAGGAACTGGAACTCGCACACACTGCTGATGGAAATGCAAAATGGTACAACCACTCTAGAAAAGTCTGTCAGCTTCTTAAATTAAACAGACACCTACCACATGACCCAGCTGTTCCACTTGTAGGTACAACCCAAGAGAAAGGTAAACCTATGGCCATAAAGAGACTTGTGCATGAATGTCCACAGTAGCTTTCTTTGAAATAGCCGAGAACTTGAAACAACCCAAATGTCCATCAACAGATGAATGGGTAAACACTTCTGGTATATCCATACAACAAACACTATTTAGCAACAAAAAGGAAGAGACTATTGATAAATAACACAAACGAATGTCAAAATAATTATACTGAGTGAAAATAACCAGAAAAACAACAAAAAAGAATACATACTAAAGCCTGCATTTATATAAATCTGTAAAAAATGCAAACTCTAGAGACAGAAAGTGGCTCAGGGGTTGCCTGGGGCTTGAGTGACACTGTGGGAGGGAGGGATGACAAAGGGACAGAGAGAACTTTTGAGGATGATGGACATATTCACTATCCTGACTGTGGTGATGGTCTCATGGGTATATTGACGTAAAAACTTATGAAATTTTATACTTTAAATACATGCAGGTGATTGTCAATTATACCTCAATAAAAGTATTATTAAAAATAGGAAGTAACTTTCCACATTGTACTTTCACACAGAACCTGTGGTTTCCAAGACCATGACTTTCATTTCTGATGTGATGTGGGAAATGCCTCTATTTGGAAGACAGAACTAATGACTTCCCCACACTGCATTGACTCACAGGCTTCAGAGAGGAGGCTCCCTCTAATAAACCTGCAGACAGCAGAGAACAACAAACACAGGATCCTTGCAGGCCCTATTTCTAAGCTCTGCAGCTCCTCCGGGTGTTGGGAGGAGGCCCGAGAGGTCTGGGGGCTCCGGACGCCCGGGTTCTACAAAGCATCTGTACCAGTCTCCCCCTTAGCGAGGAGACTGAAACCTCAAACTTCCTCCTCTCCCCACAGACCCCTTGGGCTGCCTTCCCCTCCATGCTCCGCGCGGACCTGCAGAGAATGCGAGGAAGCCAGCGTGAGCCCCAAGCCTTCTGGAAGAGGCCTCCCAAAGGGGCTTCTTTGTGCCAGACTCAGCCCAGGCGGCGGGACGCCCGGCTTTCCTAGCAGCGCCCTGCGATGTGCGCGATCGGCCAGCAGGCGGCGCCAGGCTTCCCGCGGACGTCCTCAGAGCGCGGCGCCAGGCTCCCGCATGTGTCCACCACCAGGTCACCGCCCACTCGGTGCATCTCTCCCTACTGCAGGGAGACAAGCCTGAGCCACGAGCGTTCGCGAGGCCGCCTGTGAGGGGACCTGACCATTCTCCGGGGCTCCTGTGGGCACCGGAACGGATGTGAAGGGGTCACTTTGCGATTTCGCCTCCCACCGGCCGCCTCCTGGCATCTGCATAGCATCGTTTGGCGCCGCTTCAGGCACCCCGTCTCCGCGGCTCCAGTACTAGAGAGTGTAGTTTCGAGATGTGTGGCGTGACCAACTCATTCCACCCTTCCGTAAGTGTTTTTCAGTTTTGGCTGCACTTTTAGATGCCCTGGGAGCTTTTAAAAATCCTGATGCCAGCTGGCCGGTGGCCGAGTGGTGAAGTTCCTGCGCTGCGCTGCTCTTCCGTGGCTCAGGGTTGCCAGTTCGGATGCTGAGCGCACATGGTACCACTCATCAGGCCATGCTGAGGTGGCGTCCTACATGCCACAGCTAGAGGGACCCCCACAACTAGACTATACAACTATGTACTGGGGAGGCTCTGGGGAGAAGAAGAAGAAAAACAAGAGAAAAAAGAGAGAAGATTGGCAAAAGCTGTTGGCTCAGGTGCCAATCTTTAAAAAAAAAAAAAGAAGGTTAAAAAAAAATCCTGATACCTAGGACTTGTGGAACTACTGCTCACTTTTCACTGATCAAAGCAAGTCCCAGGGCCACGTCTAACTGCAACGTGCCTAGGAGAAGCATAAATCTTTGGTGGACAACACAAATATCACAGCCCTAGAGAAACAGAAAACTGAAGAAACCAGTTACAAAAATGATGGTCCAGTGGTTTTATGGGTTAATTCTCTGTAATTTAAATGATAATCTCTAAAGAATTCATCATCCCAAAGGTATTTGAACCATTTTCAGGTGGAAAGCTCCCTTATATATTCTATGAAGTTAACATTATCTTATAATCAAATCTGATAAGAATCATACAATAAAAATGAAAGTGCATCATACTATGGATGAATCTTAATTTTGGAGATAGATGTAAAAATTGCAATTAAATTATGACCAAACTGAATCAAGAAATGCATTGAAAGAATAATGACAGCAAATACTTTAGGTAGTACTTACTGTGTGTCAGGCACTGTTCTAAATGCTTTTCAGTATTACCTAATTTAATCTTTAGGACAATCTATTATTTAGGTATTACTGTTAGTATTATCCCCCTTTTAGAGATGGGGAAGATTTAAATGAATTCTTATTATATTCTTTGCTTTAGATCTGAGATGGAAAAGGATAGTGAAGGAATATAGGGAGCAGCAGCTCAGTGATGGGGAAAGCTTTCTACATATCTTTTCCTGACATGAAGGAATGTGGAGACGTGGGCATAGCTGTCAGTTTGGGGCAGAGGGATAGCAATATACATATCATGCAAGATGACCACTCAGGTAGTAATCCCTTTATTTTTTTGAGTGGAGATGCATATACTTATCTACTGCAAGAGTCTGTGCTTCAAACCAGTCAAACTGATTTGAGGGAACAGGAAACAGGAAGCACAGGTAAAGGCTGTGTCGTGAGCTCCCCACACACTCAGTCCCTCCTTTTCTTCTGAACCCTGCAAATCTGGTCTTCCATTTTTATCTGTGTATACAGAGGCCTCCACTGCCCTCAGCCCACTCAGCCTCAACTCAAAAGACTGGGCCATGTTCAGGAATACCCATCTCCCTCCCTTTTGTCAAGTCTGTGCCTGTCATGTCAGCAGCTTCTTGAATCTTGACTTCTTTCAAGACCCCCAGGTGGCTGACAGAAATGGGAGTGGGGTAGCACTCTGGCCAGGGTTGTAGGAGGTGGGGAGAAAGGGTCATGGATCCCTTGTTCTTCTCTTGAAGGTTGACTGCGGGGCCTGCTCTTGTGTGTGTGAGGGACAACTAGGCCTCCGTTCCAAGAGCCCAGGGTTTTATGAAGAGATTTTAGGAAGCAATCTCCTTAGAGTCCCCATCTCTCTACTTCCACCAATGGGCAAAATCCTAAGGGCCCCACATTCTTTAGTCTGAGCTGAGACACCCTCCTGAAAATATTAGGACAAGACAAGGGAGAAAGAGGATGGGTTCTCTCATTCTTCCTGTGCAGGTCAGGGAAGCCCACTTCCTAAGGCAATGAGCATGGAGTGTGTGTGTCAGGTTAGGCAATGTTTCAGGTGTTGGCTACTGAAGTGAACAAAAGGAGCTCCCTGACTTTGTTGTACTTACATTCTAGAGGGAGTGAGGACAGGCAAGAAACTAATAAATATGGGGGGCCAGTCAAGCAAAGTGGGGAAAGAGCACTACTTTATACTTGGGGTTTGGAGGAGTCCTCTGTGTGAGGTGACACATAGGGACCAGAAGGCCATGAGGAAGTGGGCCATGCAGATACTGGGGACAAATATGTCAGACAAAGGGAGAAAGCAGCAAGGACAAGGGTCCAGTGATGGGAATGCTCATGGGGTGTTTGAGGAAAATTGTGTGTATAACTAATTCAGATTTAACAGAAACAGGGGAAAATGCAGGTAGATTTGTTAGGTTGTGGGATTCCTGGCAGCTGGGCAATGGCTCTCAGTGCTGCTGACCTGGTCCTATTTCGGGGGCCAGGCTCTCCTGAGCAACCTGGCACTCCAGTTCTCTCTCTTTCTTTACCAAATTGTTAGCCAGTAATTGTCCATTATTCTAATAACCAAACAGATCCATCATAAACATTTTGAAACCAATAGAACAATGTTTCTGAAATGCTGTTGAAGAATGCTATATTTAAGAAATGTTTTTAAGAACAATAGCTCATATTTGGACCAGCCTGGTTCCAGGAGCAGACAGTTTCAACTCAAGTTCTGTCCTGGGACAAGAGAATCAAGTGACGAGGTCATTTAAGCCAAGAATAGAGATTTGGAATCTTCAGTGTTGTCCCTGAAACCTCAGATAACCTCAGGGTGTCCTGGTTTGATATTTACTCTGGAAGTTTATTTGACATTTATCTGCATTTCCTCCATTTGGGCTTACGTTCTTCATGATATTTAAAGGGGAGCAGTAACAGGACAACTTAAAATATCTCCTTAATCCCTCAGTCATAATATTTAATGCCTATTTTATTGAAGGCACTCTGAAGGGCTCAATTTCACAAGCATGTTTCTTTGGGGGAAAAATGGAGCACAAATGACTCTAGTAAAGAGCAGCCAGAGGGAAAGGTCATGGTGTAGAAAAGGGGGTCAGCAAAGTTTTTCTCTAAAGGGCAAAGAAGTAAATATTGTAGGCTTTGGCCAAGAGGCAAACTGGAAGATATTATGTAGGTACTAATATAATAATAGAGAAAACACATTTCTAGACTTTTGATGAAATTGAAAATATAATGTTGAGTAAAATTTTTTCTTTTGAAAATCTAAGTCTATTAGAAGAATGGAATTCTCTTTTGGAAGAACATTTTGCTCCAGTGGGTTTAAAAATTAGTGTTCCTAATATCGATCGCAAGTGTTCTTGGCTCATGGCCTATACGAAAATAGGCTTGGGCTAGATTTGGTTTCCGGGCCATAGTTTGCCAACCACTGGTATAGAAAATACGGTTTCAATGTTTAAAGTATTCCTGGAGATTCTGGCTAAAGCTATAGGAAGAGAAGAAAAAAGAGAAGCAAGAGGATAAGAAGAGATACATTGACACTATTTGCAGATAATATAACCATGCACCTATGAAACTAGCAGAATCCACAAAGTATTAGAACTAATTTTTTTTTGTTTTTTTTGGCTTTTTTTGGAGGAAGATTAGCCCTCAGCTAACTACTGCCAGTCCTCCTCTTTTTGCTGAGGAAGCCTGGCTCTGAGCTAACATCCGTGCCCATCTTCCTCTAGTTTATACGTGGGACGCCTACCACAGCATGGCTGCCAAGCAGTGCCATGTCCACACCCGGGATCCGAACCAGTGAACCCCGGGCCGCCGAGAAGCAGAACGTGCGAACTTAACCGCTGCGCCACCGGGCCGGCCCCAGTATTAGAACTAATTTTATTATAGCTAATGAAAAATTTCATCAAGGTTGCTAGAGAGATCAACTTACAAAAATCAATAGCATTTCTTTATACAATCAGTCCTCCGTATCTGTATGTGTTGCATCAGTGATTCAACCAACAATCGATCAAAATTTCACAGATACGGAGGAATTAAGTTGAATCTGTGGATGTGAAGCTCACAGATATGAGGGCTGGGTGTATTCATTGTACCAGGCCAGGTTACACAAGGGACTTGCACGTCTGCGGATTTTGGTATCTGCTGGGGGTCCCAGAATCAATCCCCCGAGGATACTGAGGGATGGCTGTACCAGCAAAAACTAATAGCAATAACTAATGGTTAAGAAAACCAAAAACAGAGGCCAGCGCTGTGGCCTAGTGGCTAAGTTCCGCAAGTTCCCCTTCGGTGGCCTGGGGTTCCCTGATTCCAATCCTGGACATGGACCTACACCCTGCTCATCAAGCCGTGCTGTGGCGGCATCCCACATAGAAGAACTAGAAGGACTTACAACTAGGATATATAGCTATGTACTGGGGCTTTAGGGAGAAAAAAAAAAAGGAGTAAGATTGGCAACAGACGTTAGCTCAGGGCCAATCTTCCTCACCAAAAAAAAAAAAAACCAACTGTGAAAGTGTCTAGGAATCAACAACTAAGAATACATAAGAAAATTACTGAGGAGAAAACTTTAAAACTCTAAGGAAGGACATAGAAGGTGATCTGAATAAAATGACAGACACGGGGCTCTCAGGTTTGGCCCATTGAGCCTCATGTCAGACTTTTCACCTCCAAAACTATAATATTATAAACTTGTGCTTTTTTTTTTTTTTTTTTTGAGGAAGATTAGCACTGAGCTAACATCTGCTGCCAATCCTCCTCTCTTTTTGCTGAGGAAGACTGGCCCTGAGCTAACAACCGTGCACATCTTCCTCTACTTTATATACGGGACACCTGCCACAGCATGGCTTGCCAGGGGTACCATGTCCACACCCAGGATCCAAACCGGTGAACCCTGGGCTGCCGAAGGGAAACGTGTGCACTTAACCTCCGCACCACCAGGCCGGCCCCTAAACTTGTGCTGTTTTCAACCACTAACTTTATGGTGATTTGTTACAGCGGAAACAAGAAACTAATACAGGACCCATTTCTCCTGTCCAGCTGGATGCCAAGAATAGAGCTTTTTAACTCTGTTTTTGATGCACAAGTAGAGTTTCCGAACATATATTTTTAACTCTTGGAAGGAAGGTGGCATCTGTGATCTACTGAGTAATCCTAGTTCATACTTGCCTGCATTTGGAATATTATTCTGTGGTGCTCTTTGCAGCAGATTGATTTCCTTTCCTTTAACCAACTCAATTTGTTTTCAGACCCTAAGAACCTGTTGATGGGCAGTGAGGGGACAGTAGGGTGCTAATGAACTAATAAGAAATGACTTAAATATCATGGTGGAAATTCCCCAATGGGACTCAGCTGTGAGCCTGGCCCTCCAGTCCCTGAGCAAAGCGTAGGAAGAAGCAGCAGCATAGCCCCCGTAATGGCTGATTCCACTGTAACTTTCACTTCATCCCTGATTTCATTAGATATTTTAGAAAATTAAAAAATACATTTGAACACTTATGTCTTTCTCTCTGTGTGTCTTTTAGGTACAACGATAACTGATGTGGGTTGACATCAGCAAGATGGTGCAATAGGAAGTGCCAGCCCTTATACGCCCCACAGAAACACCTGTTTCAACAACCACTCATGGATGAGGCTTCCTTGTGGGAGTCTGGAAGTAAAACTGAGAGGTTTCAGCTCCCAGGTGGAGCAAAGTCGTCCAAGACTAGATGCACTGAAGAAGGTTTCACATTGCCCGTGTCACCCCACTCCCAAGGTGGCACAACATTGGCATCTCTGGGAGCTTGGTAGAAAGCAGAATCTCAGGTCCCACCCCAGACCTGCTAAATCAGAGCCTGCAGTTTCACAAGATCCCCAGGGAATTGCATGCACGCTGTGAGAAGTGCTGCATTATCCTACATTTAGCAATCCATGAATGATGTTTTGCATTTGTCTGTGTGTTATTTAAAATTTATGTAAGTGATATCATACTACACATACCATTTAACAACTACCTTTTTTCTTTCAACAAGTTCTGTTTGAGAACTAACAATGCTAATATAGATCTAGTACATTCTCTTTTAATTTGTTGAAGAAAAGTCACACTTATGTTGCTGATAATGAAATCTATTATTAAATCAGTCTGTTAGTGGCATTGATTTATTGCAATCAGGTACAAATGGAGATGGTGAGAGACTTAAAGTTCTCTTTATTTTTAAAAAAGCAGTCTTTTATTTCCTGGGGGCATCACAGCCACTGGGGGAATGTACTTCCCAAAGAAAAGCGATTACTATTTATGGCTTTAAGAGTAAAGGTTACATGCCTAGGAAAAAATAATGAGTTTTTAAAATCCAGATGTCTTGATGTCAGTGAAAACAGCCAAAGTAAATTAGACCAGCAAGGACACTTTTATGCTAACAGGGTGGATGTACAGAATACAAAGGGTCATTCATCCTAACTTGAATTGAGATTTACATTCTTAATCTTTCTGGAAACTAGCTGGCAAACATCCCCAGGCTTTGATCTTTATCAGACATAAATTGGTCCGCATTTCAGAGGCCCTTTAACTGACCAGATCTTCAATACCAAATGCAATGTCCGGCTTATTCATGATTTTAATCACCCAAGCCTAGTTAAATGTATATGGGGTATGGTGAAGATTTGCTAGCTGGGACAATTGAGAGAACCTAAAAGATGTGGTCAGTTTACTCGAGGGCTGGTGTTGGGCATCAAGGATTCAGCTGTCACAGCCTGGAAAGCTGGTAACTCTCATTACATGTTGGAAAAACATTTGGTCAAATGGTTCCTGCTGTACCTTGGAAAATAGAGCATGTGTGGACGGGGCCTGTAGCTAAGGGATGAAATGGAAAAGACTCAGGGTGTTGAAATATTGGTATCACGTACAGAATTTCTTGCTCATTTCAGCAAAACTTAGATGAGGGAAGAACTCAGGCTAGAGCCACCGAGGCTGCAAACAGAGAGAGAGAAGGTAGCACAGCTTTGCAAAGGGAGGCCCCCTCTGCCTGAAGCCTCACTCTAAGTTGAGTGAGAGTCACTGCTTCTTTACCCCAAAGTGAAGGGGTTGTAAGTAGTGGCTGTGAAGTGGAAGTCTGGTCTTAGGAGAGAATGCTGCTGTCATGACAGGTTGTGAGCCTGCAGGCAAAGAAGGGATTAAGGGCTCACCCCACCCAAATCCATTGTTTTAGATGTCCTCAAAGTAGCCACCATTAAATTGAGCAAAGCAAATGGGCTGGGAAGGGCATAAGGCCAATCTAGAAAAACACCAGAGTTTCCAGGCTTAACTCTATGTCTAGATAAGATTTTGGGGGTCTGGTTATCTGCACATGGAAGAGTCAAGAGGCAAATACATCCAAAGCCTACTAAGTTTTTGAGGAATTTGCATGGCCAAAAAACATTCAGATCTGGCCTATAGCAAAAGCATGTGACTCTTTAATCCTCAAAATAATGTCTCCAAACCCGCACAAGCAGGAAGTAGATGTGGCCATGGGGGATAAGTGACAAGGAAGAACCTCACAGAGCCAGGACCCAAGGAGGACAGTAGTCATAAGACCATGCTTCCATCACATTCTCTTTTCCCTTAATTCTTGCACCTCTGCTTTAACCACACAGATAAGCACAACGTCCTAGGGTTGGTGGAGAAACAAGATAGAACAGGGTTCCTGAATGACTACTTGGTAGGGAGCTGCCAGCCAACTTAGAACACGTACTTCAGATTGTTCCCAGAAGGGCAAAATTAATTGTATCTTCATTAAACCATACTGGATTATGGTTGAGTCTCTTTTTTATAGCAGCCTAGCTAGATAAACTAATTAAAATGTTCAGAACTGAGATATTTATCTTTTCCCACTTAGCTGGTTCTTTCAGCTGACTGGAGTAAATGACAATTCCATCCTTCAGCTGCTCAGACCAAAATTCCTGGAGGCCTCCTGTGTCCCAGCCCCTACAGGATGCATAGCATTGAACCAGGCCCTGCATTTGTGGTTTAGCTTGGTGCCTCCCAGAATTCCAGGCAGCACATGCATGGAATGGGCCTGGGTTCTAGTCCTAAAAATGTTAATACTCTTCAACCAAAGACCACCATCGATATCCTTGTAGTTGATTAGCTGGGTTGTTGCTGCAGCTAGCAAGAATGCTCACCATTGGGAACCGTGGGTATCTCAGCGAGAGAGTGTTAGGAAGAATCTACTATAGGATTTGGGGAGAATCTAAGGAAGCTCTAGATTTGGTGCTGTCAGAAAGCAGGGGCCAGTCTGTGATTGGATATCCCAATAAATCTTGTCTATAGGGAGTGGAGATAAGCATGAGAATAAAGTTGTAATCGGTAAAGAAGTAGCAGTCACTCATTCTAGCAGAGAGAGGGGCATGTTTGTAGATTGCACAGTGATCTTGCTTCTATGATCTTGGAGTGACCTTGTGTGATGCTGATGTTTTATGAGATTGTTTCCGTCCAGCAGAACAACCTGGCCTAGCCGTGAGCATCAGGCCAGCCTGTGATAACATGGAAGCCTCGCTATGGGAGTCAAGCCAGTTCCAGGATAGCAGCGGCTGCTTTTTTTCTTTCTCAAATGCGTGGCGATGCCTCTTTTGTAGGCCTCAGGCAGTCACCTTCTTTCTGTGACCCCAAGTGCGGGAGAGGAGCTGTCTTCAAATTCATTCTCACTCAGCCCCTGCTTCTCAGAGGTATGCGTCTTCGGCTGCATCCCCACCTGGCCGTTGCTACACTTGTCTCCACCCCTGCACATGTGACCCAGATCTGTACTCAGAACCCAGGGGGCAGGGCTGCTCTGGCCTGTTTACCCACATCATTCCCATCTGTTCGGTTTCTTTCTTTTCTTCTGGAAAGAACCTCTCTGTCTTTGATCTACAAACCTCTTCACTCCTTGCTGTTGAGCGTTCTTAACATTTCATGCCTCATTTACATAAAATGTCCGGATTTGGAGGGTAGGTTTCAGTGTGAGCTCAAGCTGCCATCTTGACCTGGGATCAGCTGAGGGTCTTTTTGTGCCTCCCTCTGGGCTGCAGTTTCCTGACCTGTGGTACAACCCAGCCATCTTCACCATCAATGTGGCCCTGCTTGCATTGATTGCTACAGTAGTTAATGTTCTCAGCTATCTCAAGGAAATGCTGGGCTGTGCCCTTCTGGATATCAGCTGTTCTGACCCCTAAATGCCAACATTTATAAATGAAAGATTCTAATATGACGGATTGATTTTCTGCATAGCCTTTTGTCACATTTCAGCAAACCAGACTCATTGCTTCAGTCAGGAGTCGTAAGCCTGAACCTAACTTATCTTCTGATCTGGAGGTGGGGTAAGATGTGGGGAGCATCAGATGCCTAGAAAGCCTTCTCTCCATAACCTTGTGTCCATGATGACTGAGTCATTCTTTTTGCAGGACAACCCCCGCCCATGTCTTGCTCTGCCCCAACACCCATGTGTAAATTTTACACTGTCAGGAAAAGATGATAAGTAGAGGAAGATCTTTTATTTTCCTTTCTCCAAAGACTGCAAGCTCCATAAGGAAGAAGTTAATAACATTTAGCCTGCTTGATGCCTCCTGACTGTACCAAGTACAGATTGCTGAGGATAGGTATTGCTCACGTGTCAGGGAATCTCACTGAATATGTTCACAGTAGGTAACAGCAGTGGTTGAAGGAGGTTTCCCAAGAGTACAAAAGGACACTGGCCATCTCATAGGATGGATGACACAGAGAAGCTGGGATGTGGAGGCACGCTCTGAAACACGTCCAGGTGGTATCAGCCTCAGCGGGATCTGTCTCTCAGTAACTCATAGAAAAAGAGAATTGTAGGATGGGCCAAATTATAGGACAAGTCTTATAGTTTGTCTCAGCAGCTCACTAAGAAATAGGCAAATCAAAGGGCAAGCAGCCCTCACAGGGACAGAGAATTACTGCAGAGGAGGGAGAATCCTGAAACTCAGGGAAGATTCTGAGAAGCTAGAGGAGGGTTATGGGTACAGGGCCAAGGAATCCCCCTCATTTGCTTGCTGTCTGCCCCACATCTCTCACACACACAAAGACAAGTCACATGACTGCAAGGCTAATCATTTATTGATCAGGTGGAGGGAGGTCTCAGCATGGTCAAGTTCTGGGCATGGCAGAGAGAGTGGGAATTTGGGAAAAACCTTTGATTCTTGGTGTGTTGAGGAGTCTTCCTAGACAATTAGGGAAGTTCCAGAAGATGCAGAGATAATGCCTTCACATGCGATAGTGATGGAAATCAGGTGACAGAACTTGTCACAAGATGTCATGGGGATCACGGAGCGAAGATTCTGGAGCCCAGGTGAGGAAGTATTCACTCTCACTCAGCTACATAAGCCAATGAGAAAGAAAACACAGAAATTTATTAAGCACTTATGGATTGAATAGAAGACAAAGAGAACTTCTATTAGAGAGAAAAATGGTGAAGACACAGATATCAACCTGCATTGTAATCTACGTTATTTGCCAGAACAGTGGGAGGGAGGACACTGAGTAAGTGACGTTTTTCTTCTATTGCTGCTTCCATCTTAACCTTCCCTCAACTAAGGCTATGAAACCCAGAATGGAAGCGATGAAGGAACCTGGGCTCATTTCTGCCACCTTCACCATTAGAAGTTTTGAAGAATTTTTGATAAATTGAAAAATAATGTCTAAAGCCATAGCTACCTTTGATGAAGTGCTGACTTTGTGCAAGCTATAGTGGCTAAGACTTCCACATACATTGTCTGAATGAAGCCCCACAGTAAATCTGAGGCAGGAAACAGATGAGGAAACTCAGAGTCCATTTTCCAGATCAGAAGACAACTGGAAGGTGAGACAGCTTTATTCTCAGATTAGAAGTTAAGGCTGTACAGAGATCAAAGGAAGCCATTTTTACCATAAATTGGAGGGTGAGATGGCCTTCTGGGCTTGGAAGACGGACCACAAACACAGAATGTATTTGTGTCATACTCACACCCTATTACTCTTTTCTCATTTAAAACTTTAAGGCTTAATGATTTTGAGCACATTATCAGTCACTGAGCCCTTTTCACCAGCAATATTATCCACACAGGAAATCACTATGTAGACATCATTGTTTCCCTTTTAATTGCTTAGATCATTTGCTCAGAAGCTCATGGTAGGAGTGGGTC